ATCCATCCATCCATCCATCCACCTATCCATCCATCCATCCATCCATCCACCCACCTATCCATCCATCCATCCATCCATCCATCCATCCATCCATCTATAAAAATCTATGCATGTTCCAGGTAATTTAATAAACAAAAACTCCCTCTTATGTTTGCGTAACTGAAGCTCTAATCAACAAACCTTGTTTTTTTCATCTTCTATTCTCCGTGTAGTCCAGGCCGTAACTTCTTTGTGCGCCGCCTACACAAAGATTCTGTTTACAGGAAAGTCCCTGTATACCTGAGGCTTGCAGCTGCGCAGCCCGATTACACTAAATATTATCTGGGCTCGGTCCAGTTTGGATCCTGGGTTTTGGGTTGAGATGCTAAGAAGCGAGTGGACCCACGAGAACCTGTAATGTATTGTCTGGTCTGTCGTAACACAACTATTTCGCTGTAACTCTGAGCCAAACGGTGGCCTGTTAGTGTAATACAGATGCTGGAAATGGCTGCAACTGCTTCACCGCTTGTCCAGTTCTGCTGAAACCTGGAAAGATGATGCATCTTCGTACTTATTTGTCCCAAAAGGGTTCTGCATTATTCATTAAACAACATGTTTTGCTGTTATACTAAGGTTACAGCGAGCCCGAGGTATGTATACCTAAGTAGGCGACTGTGTACAGCTCACTGCGAGCTACTTGTGCTCAGTGATTATGTAAATCACTCTCCATCATGCAGGATGGTTTTCTCTTTTTTTGAGTTTTTGTTAAGCGACGTGTCAGCGCAGACACACTCTTTATGTTGTGTTCCTCCTCTGTGCCGTTTGCAGAGTCCACAGCGCAGACTTCTACATGCAGGAGGCCAAGAGACTGAAGCACAAGGCCGACGCTCTGGTAAGATGTTGTGAGGCTCAACACTTCACCGAAAATCAATCAGCCAGAGACATGCATATTTACTGCTCGGTGCTGAGGCACATACAGGAGGCAGAGAGAAGACAGATGGTTAGATGCACACAGAAAGCAAAACTCGATTTGAAAACACACAGTGTTAACATCTACAGTCTAGACTGTAATTATGTGTGCACTGTAAGTCTCCGTAGAATGAAAATCTATTTGGTATCAAGGACCGTACTGTATAATTTGTGTTATTTATTGCACCATTTGTCTCCAAGGGAACATTGCATTCAAGGACTGATGATGTCTGCAAGATTATACAATATCAAAAGAATTATCGGATCCCCCCCGAACAATGAAATGAGATTTATTTAACTTGTTATTTATCTTATGTTTACGCGTTGTTTCCTCAGATTTATCTGGGGATTTGCATCTTAGTGGGAGATTATTCAAAGAGAAGCCTGAGCTTCTGCCACAATGCTGTTAAGACGTCGCTTATTCCATCTCTTATTCATGTCTCCTCTCTCTCTGTCACATTCCTTTTCATCTCATCTTTGTCACTCCGCTTCCGTCCGTCTCCTTCCTTTTCTCGCACTTCGCCTGCAGATGGACAAATTTGGTAAAGCGGTGAACTACGCAGACGGCGCTCTGTCCTTCATCGAGTGTGGAAACGCGATGGAGCGAGATCCGCTGGAGGCCAAATCGCCGTACACCATGTACTCCGAGACCGTGGAGCTAATCAGGTATGGACGAGCAGCAAAAAGGAACAAACAGGATTCGCTGAGCGCTCGAATTCACAACTTTCTAGTTTCCTAATGAGTTTGCAGAGTAAAGCTGATAACGGATATTTTTTTTTTTTCTTCTTGGGAAAGTTCCTTCAAAGCACTTTGTCATGTGGCGCTAATTATAGAGGAAACGAAGACAGTGTTTAATTGGTAAGACAGCCGTAGCATAAAGACAGATACTAAACAGATTGCTATGATAATTTCTGTCCAGCGCCTATTAATAAAACTGCAGAACCATTTTTACAACAGCAGAACTAGAAGCACAGTCGTGTAGGTTTTTGCAAAGCGGCTGCTGCTGTTAAACTAAACATCAGGTGTGAACGCTGTGAGAGCGAATGAAGCACACGTCATCCAGAGCAGCAGCAGTTGTTGTTGTTGTTATTGTGTAGACAGTGGACTTGTTCTAATGAGCTGCTGTAAAACACCTGACTTGGTTAGTTTGATTCAAGGATGCCTTAAACTGATGTGTGCATGATTGAAAGTAGTTTTTTTGTGAATGTATCAACATGAATTACTTCCTTAAAGGGACTAATAATAAATCAATAGTGCTGTTTGATTATAAAGAAAAATCCTTTCTCTGCAGACAAATATATCTACGGAGCCTAAAGCAGGGGTGTCAATCTCAAAAACACAGTGGGCCAAAATTTAAAACCTGAACAAAGTCGCGGGCCAACATGAACCTTTTAATATGGACCGAAACAAATTTTGCTTTAACATTGAATATGGAACAAGCAACGCTTATTACCATACATTATATATAAGTTAATAGTGGAGACATGTAAAATCAAATTATAAATAAAAAAACACATCAATGGTGTGACAGCTGTAGTGTGAAGTTGCTATGCCTACTGTCACAGAGGAGAGGGAGTTTCTGGGTCCTGTCCTGATTGATGCGCCAAAACAACAACAGGGCATTATGGGATTTGTAGTATTAGCGGTGAATGCGCTGTACAGTATAATACCGGGGGCAGTTCTAGTGGTCATTTGGTATTGTCTCGCGGGCCAAATATAATTACAAAGCGGGCCAAATTTGGCCCGCGGGCCAGAGTTTGACACCCCTGCCCTAAAGGGACACTTCAGAGAAAAACACAAGTTTCTTGGTGCTATCCTCCAGAATCTTTGACAACATTTTCCAGTTTATGTTAACAAGTTAGATTTGCTAAGTTTGTGAGTCGCTGAGCAAAAACTTTCATGATAGCTTGCAGGCGACTACTGAGGTAAAGAGCATGAACGAGCCTGTGAGCCTGAACTCAGGGCAAAGAAACCCTGAAGTTACAGCTACTAATCTCTCACGGCAGGAGTGCAGCAAAAGTCACGTGTAGAAAGAAAAGGCAGCCGGGGCGCCGCTATTATTCACCTGGTTGAGCTGGTGTCCCATGTGCAGGGCTACAGTCCCAATGTGGAGGTCATGAGTTCGAATCCCGCTCATGACCCTTTCCCACATGTCCCCCTACTTTCCTGTCTCTATCTCTCACTAACACTATCCAATAAAGGCTTTAACTTTAAAAAAAAAAAAGAAAGAAAGAAAGAAAAGAAAAGGCAGCCGATTGTGAGGCCCGCCTGACTTGTAACTGCTGATTTGTCTGAAGTAGTCGCAGGACTTTGGCGAGTCCTCTCAGCCCAAACACAGTAAAAAAAAGTTCTAAATTCTCCAGATGTCCTGTGATATGTTCACCGTGTTCAGGACAGCTCAGGAATAATCCCAGAAACATGATGCTACAGTCCAAACTATGACTGACTGCTGCATCCTGAGAGAAGTACAAGTCACGGCCTTTAAGAAAACGTGTTCTGTGTTTGATATGTGGACCGATGTGACCGTAACAGATCTACACGTACTTATTAAACCAAGAATCTAACATCGATCACGATGACTTGACCTTTATGTAGTTAACCAAGCAAACAATTAAAATGTAAAAACTCTAAAATCCAAAAAATGTGTCTGTCTAGAATAATGTTCAGTAAATATTTACATGAAGTTTGTTCTAGTTTTTCTCATGTTTACAGTTTTTAAGATGTAAACACTCTAGCGACTATGCAGCGCTCATTTATGATATTTTCCACTAATTTTTCCCTAAAAACCTCAATAAATATTCACAATATTCAGTCTTCTTGGACTTACTGTAAAGTTTTATACAGGATCAGTTTCAACCTTTCTGACCTGTTGCAGCTTCAGTACATTTTAGCCACCGATCACCGCTTTGCTCCTAAAAAATGACAAATTCAAACTTGTTGTTTTTGAATAAAGGCCAAAGTAGCACAAAGCCGGTGCTGCATTCAGACCAAGCTGGACTCTCTGACTCTGTATCTTCTGCCTGTCCAGTCTACAGACCAGCGAGGCTGCTCGTCGGTGTAATTTAATCAGGGTTGCATTACAGCTTTTGAGAGAAAGTGCAACTTTAATAGAGCAAACTGAGAATAATAAATGATGCTGCGTGTGAGAGGCGGCGGGTCGACGGCGGTGCAGCGGGACAGAAACCGGAGAGCTCAGGTTCAAGATCTGCTCGTCTGCAATCATCCATCCTGCTGAAGTGTCCTTGAGCAAAACACTGAGTCATTACCGGGGCTGCTGATCAGAGGCTGTGACCTCTGACCTCCCCGACGAGGAAGGAGCTGAAGTTTCCTTCAGAAATCAATAAAGTAATAAAGGCGTGACTCCTCTTGCTTCGTAAACGCGTCTCTTCATTCTGGCTGATAAAAGCGTCGCTCAGCGGAGGAGGCTGATCAGGAGGCAGCAGCTGACCACTGAAGGAGCTTTTTAAATGGCTAATAAATAACTGAAGGAGAAGCGTTTCCTTCCTTGCTTCCTCCCTCAGGGTTAGATAAAGCTAACCTGTAGCTTGTTTTGCCGAAGGCCACTTCAGCAGGGTTTCTGCCGGCTGCCAGCGAGCTGAAGGAATTAATCACTAACCGCCGTCCCCCTGTTGTCATGAAGAGCAGCTCTCCCAATGATTTTAACCTTGATTTTCTAATTAAAATGAACCTTGAGTAGACGTCCATCCACTTGTGTGTTTACATTTCTCGCTCATAAATCTCTGGACACGTCGACGGATGAGTAACGAGCGTCTCTCCGCTGCAGGTACGCCATGAGGTTGAAGAACTTCACCAGCCACTCAGCCACCGTCTCTGAGAAGAAGCTCGCTGTGTTGTGGTACGAAGCTCCTCTGTTCTCTGTTTGTGTTGATGAGCAAAATAAAACGGGTTTAAGTTCATTGTCAAGATTTAAGAAACGCTGCCTCAGACTGGTCTGACCCCAAAAAACTCTGCAAAGTCTCTCTAACTTTTAAATTCTTTACATTTAATTAACAAGCTAATAGTTACATAATTTCTCTGAGAGTTCTGTTGCCTGTCAGACCTTCTCTCTACTGTCAAAAACTACATTTACGAATTATGAATATAGTTATAAAACTTGATAAGAATTATTAATCTCAAGCTTAACTTTTTAGTCTGACTTTTATTCAAATTTTGTATTAGATTTTTTTAAATTTACATACATTTTAGTTTATTATGATCATTGGCTTATTTTACTTTTTTTTGCATTTCCTTAATTCATTTTTTAATATATAATAATGTTTTTTTATCCTCTCAGTCCCTGTTTTCACTGAATTCTTTAATTAATTAATTAATTAATTAATATTTACTTATTTTTTTACCAAAGGACTTGGATATGTGTGTGTAAAGGAGGTTAAAGGTTTTGTTTTTATAGTTTTTTTTGGTTGTTGCTGCTTCGTTCTATAAAGCACTTTGCATTATATTCTGCAAACACATGCAAATAATACAAATACAAACAGTCCTATTGATTGATTAATTGAGATTTGATCAGCAGCATAATCCATGTATAAAGCGTCACTTTGGACAAGTTTCAAGCCTAAAAATTTTGCCACACCTGGAACCTGAGCATCAGATCCTGATGTCATGAATGAGCAGCAGAAACAGATTTACTCGTATCAGTATTGCAGGATCTGAAGCAGTTTGGAAATACTGACACGGTTTATGGTGTCTGGATGTTTTTTGCTTCTTCCACATTTTAAATGGCTGTTGGCTCAGTTTTCACTACAGCTATATGGAAACAGCAAAACCATGACTAAAGGTAGCAGGAACTCAAAATCATGCATGTTGTGCAGGATGATAGTTATGATGGCAAAAATCTTTTTTAAAAAAGTAAAAGTTGAATTTCTTTCATTATTTATTTAACAAATGTGTAAAAAAAAAAACTAAAATCAGCACATACAACATTTTCCAAGTGTCCACATGTAAAAATCACTGGATGGCTCTACATAGTATAGATATTTTACTAACATGTTTAATCTGTTTCCATGTCTGCTCTGTGTAAACACATCCTGCAGTTCAACCGAAAAGTCCTTGAATCTCCGTCACGTGACTGCTGGTCACAGCTGAGTCAGTCGGAGCTTCTCTGTTGTGCTCGTTTTTGGTTTTGACAGAATCTGGTGCAAATGATTTTTAAACGAGACACATAGAATAAAGTCATTTAGAAGCAATATCACGGTTTTAGGCTTGGATTTGGTCGAGCTTTTAAAAGGAACAGCACAGAAAGTTTGTGTTTTTACAGTTTCTGATAAATTCTGATAAATGGTCTAATTTTAGAGATTCTTTATATAAAACGAGCCTTTCAGCTCCATCAGTGTTTGTTGGGGTTCAGACAGTTAACATAAA